AGAGGATGAAGATAGAAACTCGAGTCAAGACCACCGCAGACAGGAAACGTGAAAAGTCAGAAGCTTGGGTTGAAGGAGTGAGAATTATAGGTATGCAGCAACATCAGCGGTAGCAGACGAGAGCGAACGAACGAGATCCGAAAGAATCACTTTACTCACTACCTAACAGAGTACTTCAAGTTCCCAAGTTCCTTTTCTTCCCTTCCACCAGGTCCTAACCTACTCGTACAATACCTACAGTACCTACAATGGAGTACTAAACTAACAACTTCTTACCTACTACAACTACACTAACTAACCAGCTGGGATCCCGACCAGTCCACATCCTCGCCCCTAGTCCCGATGGGTTAATATGACGGATCCTCCTCCATCCAACCCAGACAAGCCAAAAGACCCAGAGATGCTGGCTAGCAGATTCGGCAACATGATCATATGGAGCGAGGTAGGCAGTCTTCTCCAAATCTTGGACTCTTCTTGACTGTCTCTCTACTTCTTCACTCCTCACTCTTCACAAGTTCAATCTTCCCCGTTCATCCATTCTCAAATTCTGATATGCCTTTAAGTCCGGTTTCTGAATGGGTGACCGGCCAGGGTGACCGGGCGCCGTCATAGCCTGGAGGTCAGGAGCATCCTCTCCGGGAACAGCAGACTGGCAGAGGCCGGGGCGTGGTTCTACTTCCTCCCTGGGCGGTTGCTGACTAGGTAGTTGCTGATAACCCATTGTTCCCCTTGCTCGCAGGCGGCGCATTTGACCCGTTGGGGGGATCTACGTTATTCGACTGGGTTTAGCGGAAATACCTTAGTCCCATCGCTCTCGGATGCTTGTCGTGGGCCCTTAGAAGAGGAAATGCTGCTGCTGTGGGCCGAACGACCCGATACGAAGAAAGAATGATGGTACATCGGGACAGGGAAGGGGGGTTCTCAGCCATGGGCCGAGGAGGGCGATATATGATGAGGCAAGCGCCCAACAATTAAGACAAGGGTCGACCGGCCGGGGAGAAATCTGACGAAACTTAAATGAAGAAGTGCGACTGAGACGGAGGGAGGAGAGGGATGCTAAGAGCAGAGGAAGAATCAAAGACCGGACAGGACAGACTTTGCTCGGCTCCGTACACCGCAGAAGATGGAAGGTGGAGGGAGTGTGGATGGACAGAAAAATAAAATAAAAATAAAAATAAGAGGGTATGTACGTATGTATGTATGTTTTATGTTTTTATCTGTGGCAGGAATGTTGTCACGTAGGGCAGCGCATGCGCGTTGAATCTGAAATCCTGAGCGCCAAGTCTATTCCGCGTTCGGGCTGGAGTGTTTAAGTAAAGACCACCACATCTGTTGGATCGTATTCGACTGCAAGAGCCACATGTTTGATATATCTAGGCAGCACATGGTCTATACCCAGGGAACTGGACAGGGGATTTGGAGGTCGAGGATATTCGGAATGACCCATGAAGAGCGATACCGCACTATGTTTAGGACATTACAGGGAACTTCTCGAAACAAGCACCGGCCAGATAAGTAGGTACAGCACTTGGTAGTATTATTAGAGTAACCGACTAACAACTTTCCGCCTCCCCCTTGAGCTCGGTCTTTTGGCTCCTCGGCTCTGAGCATGATATAGAGCTGTATTTTCCTCTTAGAGTTGAGGCATCAGGATGCATGCTTGGATATTCTGCCCGTTGGGTTCCCAGTTTTCTTTCTCGTTTATCGAATTTTAGGGTCTGTCCACCATCATTCCCGATTTTACCGGGGCACGGGAGGTCCACGGTCAGAAAGGGGAGGGGCATTTTGTGCAAAAGTGGCTCCGTACGACCAAAGAAAGAACTGGAGGCATGGAGACGTCCGGCACAATGCTAAGCCATTTTAGACTAGGTAGACAACCGAAAACTCGGATCAGAACAATACAGCGAAAAGGGAGAGGGCTGTCGGTACCGTGGCTCCTCTTGACCTGCAGTACTAATTGACTAGTGATGATTAGTAGCGGAACACTGTATATGTAGTAGATCATTCGAACGTGTCGGTCTGACGGACTGACTGACTGACTGACTGACTGACTGACTGACTATCAGTCTGTCTGTGTCTGTGATAGACTAGTGTACTGTACAGCATGGGGTGAACCTCATGCGAACTACCCCGTAAACCAAACCCTCTATCGTCGGGTTTCTTTCATTATTGTACAGTACGGCATGCAAAATCACGGCCTCCTACCGGGAGAACCCACTAGGACTTGGCTTCTTCCCACGCACGCGAAAAGAAGTGGTTGGATGGTCGCGTGTGGTCGGAGTTGACTTTGACGAGAAGAAGTGATGTGATAACAACACTAAGCAGAAATCCTTCGGCGACGGCGGGAATACCGAGGACTGAGTACTGAGTAATATGGCCAAAGCCGCCAGAACCCTTAGCGCGATTCCCTTGTACCTTTCTTTCTCTATAGGTGACCTCCCCTCCCTCCCCCTCTCCCCGCGACAGCGGATCGTCTGAGTAGCATGGACGCGGCGGCTCTTTCTTGGCCTTCAACATTGTGAACAATAGAGACATATGTTGTTCTGTTACAGTGCCTAGGGCGAAACGGACACGCCCTCAGCTTCGTTAGATGCAAATTCTCTGTGCTAGGGGTAGTTAATAAGTTGTGTTCACTTACATCATCCCGATGGCTGTCGGCTGCCATGAACTTGGCTGGTAGGCATCCAAGTGACCCAGACAACTTACGTACCTTGGAAACACCTGGGTTTATGAACATTCATTCAGTCAGCTCATTTACGCCAAATGATTTGCTGCCGCACTGCTTTTTGTCGCCACCTTCCAATCGCCTACTTAGCCGGGCACATGAGACCGGTTGATATTTGCGACTGGACAATCATCTTGCAATGCATACAGTGCTATCTTTACCCGTCTCCTCTGTCCCATGAGGGAGGTAGATTGGATTTGCTGAAGCGACGGTGAAATGCAAGAATATGAGCCCTGCCGAAAAAAAGGAAAAAGGAAAAGCAAGATCAGTCGCATCAGGCGGACAACTGTGCCAGCTCTAGCTCATGTGTCAAACCGTGTATCCGATGTAATGTGGGAATCGCAAACGCGGCATGCTGACGGAACTAGATCGTCCCATAGGGTGGTAACTATGGGGAGGGACAGGTTGTAGCACTAGGAACTATGCTATAGGAACTGACACTCACTTAGTAGTATTAGCGCCTGCAGAGGACGGGTATGGAACTGCGCAATCAAACGGCTAAACCTCCCACAGGGTCTCCCTGCCAGACTAACATCAGTCACAATATATATTTTAGCTGTATCGCGCCCACAAGTTACGACTTAATTAACCTCTTCCAACTTTCTCAATGAGAGCTTGAGGAAACCGAACTCAAATGATGCCTCGGGAATTGTTTGGTTGGTACGGCGTACAGTACGGAGAATATGTTCGATCAGGTTCGTTCAAGCGGGAGTGGCCACAACAAAGTGGAGTCTTTAATCGCTCTTTTGAATTTAATTTTTCTCTTCTTGTTTTCACTACGTAGACCTCCTTTGCTGCGATTCTGTTTCGGGTCTGGCGTCCCCGGGTCCATCGCTGTGATGACCAGCCTGAGCCAGTGTATGTGACCGTTTTCGGGCAGGCCATCCGTGGCAGTAGGCGGACTGGTAGCCACGAATGTATATATCTCATCGCAGGCCTGAGCTCAAACATGAGGGAAAGTTGGAATGAGACATGGGGGAAGGGACAGCCAAACTGAGTCCTTTACCAACAACACCCAAGGGCAAAGGGGGACCGGAGGAGGGTGGTATCAGTACTGATCGGTAAGCCACCTATCCCACAATCGATGTTCCGGCTGTTGCTGTTGGTGCTCTGAACTGTGCACCAAGTCGGAGGCTGCCAGCAGTGCCAGGTGCCTTTCAGTCTAGACCATCTCAGGCAAGTTGTGGGCAGAGCCCGCCAGGCGGGCGGACTCACCAGACTGATAAGTGTCAGGTGATCGCAGGTAACCAAAACAGCTTCCATCTGCGGGAGGTGCAGATAAGTCGACCAAGAGAAAGTCAAAGTGAAGGCGGTAAGAGTGCATAAGTCTATGTATGCATACGCACTCATGGATGAGGCGAGAGGATGATTGTCTGGCTCAAATGAACAAGCTGGCCTGGTCGCCCTTGCTCATCTTTCTGTGGCAATGCGTGACGGATTTTAGATGGTGCCCTCCATGCGGTGTCTGTGCTCGACTATCAATACGGAGTGCATCTTCTTGTATTAGACGACGATGGAGCTAAGAGCCAAGGAGTTCCTGGCGACTGTTAAGTTACCTAGTAATTAGTTAGCCTCACCTTGTAAAAAAACCTCGGTCACGTTATGATACCGACACAGAGACAGCCAGACAATGCAAACGCATGCCGGTGTCGGCTTGACTAGCAGTGCTAGCAAGCACTGGACTGGGCGGATCAGCAGGGCTCCGATTAGCGGGTAAAGACGATCCAGGAACATTTCCGCGGCGGTCGGGTCTGGCTTGTGCAGGAGGAATGGCTTACTTAGTCGGTTCAATGTAAGTTAGTTGATGGTTGGTGGTTACATACAATACATACAGTCTAAGTTGTGTCCGTAGTATACTGCTACCGGCCAGCCTGAGGCAGCAGCAGATGTGGTCCACCCCGCCGCGGGCTCATCTTCCATTCAAAGTCTCCCCGTCGGGGATGCAGTTTCCGATCTGAGCGCGTTGCAATTCACGCGCGTTCTTGGTAACTTATTTGGTTACGCTCCCCGAGCCGGTGATTGATCTTTACTTCTTCACCCAACTCCATCGCCTGATATCTCACTTTGAGCTGATTTTGTCACTACCAAGTGAACTTTGGCAGAAAGAAGATTGATCATTTGGCATTTGAACCACTCATACACCTATTCCCCACCCCTACCCGCGTCAATGAATCTGTGAAACATTCTAAACATTCTATATAACTAATTTGTCATCCATGGGATCTCATACTACGGCTCTCACTCATCTCAAACAATAATCATTTCATTGCAAGGCATGTCTGCGCCATCTGGACAGTCCCTCCAGACCTACGGCTTCCAGACTTCCGTCGACATCGCACGCCAGAACACATACGACATAGCTCCTGTGGCTGGACAAAAGCGACCTGCAGAGCATTCCACAAGCAACAACAACCCGCTTTCAAGTGCAAAGCAGCCTGCCAACTTCAATGAATTAGCCGGTCAACCGGTAGATTTCATAAGGCCTTCGCTAGAACTGCCTAGAGGTCGTTTAGTTGCCAGTGATATTCGCTCGGCTGCAGCCAATGTCCCTGATAGAGATCCACCGCTTCGTTCTATGCGAAGTGCCGAAGAAGATTCTGCCGATCATCCTCTGTTGTCTCTGAGCAATCCTGTGTACGGACTACCGTCCGTTTTAGCCGCAAATTGGGCGGCTATCGGACTTAAGAACATATACCAATGGCAAGCATCGTGCCTGCTGACTCCAGGACTGCTCGATGGCAGCCGACACCTGGTGTATACTGCTCCCACCGGCGGAGGAAAATCGCTTGTTGCCGACGTTCTCATGATTAAGCGCATCGTCGATAACCCGGGCCGCAAGGCAATTCTGGTCCTTCCATATGTAGCGCTGGTACAAGAGAAACTGAAGTGGCTAAGACGTCTCGTACAAGATGTTGAGAAAAACATCAGCGACCCCGACGAGAAGGTGGACAATACGAGACCATATCACCAGCGCTGGCGCAAATTACAAAAGTCGATTCGTGTGACAGGCTACTTTGGGGGAAGCAGAACTGCTGCGTCCTGGGCTGACACGGACATTGCCGTCTGTACCATCGAGAAGGTGTGGCCAATATCCTCTACTAGTCCCAGAGAACTTCTCCCCCATAATTCATGGATGCTAACCAGGCCATCTTACAAGGCGAACTCCCTGATCAACACTGCCATTGAAGAATGTAGTATCGGGGAGCTGGGCGTAGTTGTTCTAGATGAGCTACATATGCTTGACGATGAGCACCGTGGATACCTTCTGGAACTGATGGTTACAAAACTGCTGCTCCTGCGACAGAACATCCAGATCATTGGGATGAGTGCTACACTATCGGTGAGCTACGAAGTACCATTCAGACATGAGCAGCGTCACCCTGACATAGGCCTAGAATACCGAGATGTTGGCGGAGTGGATGAATGCAGTTTACCACGTATCAACTTACCGCCCGGTTCCAATTGACGAATACCTCGTTTACGAGAATGCGATCTATCCCGCCGCAACCTCGAGGCAATTGTTTCAGACAATATCACGACTGAAGTCAGCTCCAACGCAATCTCTCGTTGAGACTATGCCTCCTCATCGCATCGTTGCCCCCTCAGCCTTTCGAGAACTTGCGAATGCCATGACAAACGCGACAGTCGCCTTGGCCATTGACACGGCATCTGCTGGGTATGGTGCTTTGGTATTTTGTGGCAGTCGACAGGCTTGCCAGATCCAAGCGGCGATCATCAGTGAAGCTATGCCAGCCCCTGGGGAGAACACGGAAGACTTGAACAAACGACTGGACCTGGTTGCCGAACTCCGGAGCCTTCCCAGCGGCCTAGACCCTGCTCTTGAAAATACCCTCGTTAGAGGCGTCGGCTTTCACCGTAAGAATACCTCATATTGGGGCTCAGAACCAAGGCTGAAATATCGGGTAGATGCAGGCATGACGACTGAGGAGCGCGAACTGATTGCACAGGCTTATGACCAGGGTGCTCTCAGAGTGCTTATAGCGACTTGCAGCTTGGCCGCTGGCGTCAATTTACCCGCCAGACGGGTTTTGATCAATGGGGCACGCATGGGCCGAGAACTCGTCGGGCCCGCCATGCTGTGAGTACTCTCCCCCAATCATTAGTAGCGCGAGCTGACCAAGAAAGACGACAAATGTGCGGAAGAGCCGGTCGCAAGGGAAAGGACGAAGCGGGCGAGACGTATCTCATATGTGGCAATAGTGACCTACAAGCTGTCTGTGACCTTCTCGAAGCTGACATGCCGGCCATTGAAAGCTGTCTAGCTCCGGAGAAGAGAGGCCTCAAAAGGTATGCCCTTGGTTTCAGCTCCCTTCAAGGCTTGCTGCTGACGACGTACAAGGGCCCTCTTAGAAGCCCTCGCTACCGGCCTCGTATCCGGGTATGACGCAATCAAGGAATATGTCAGGTGCACCTTGCTTTACCGAACAGTGGACAGAAAGCTAGCCTATAGTATCATGCAATCTGCACTCCAAGAATTGGTCAAGGAAGAACTCGTGCATGTTGATGATGATGAATCATCATATTCAGCGACACAGCTTGGACAGGCTGTAGTCGCGTCCGCATTTGCACCCGAAGATGGTTTATTTGTCCATGAAGAGTTGAAACGGGCTCTGCAAGCTTTCGTCATGGATGGCGATATGCATATATTCTATATGTTCACGCCCCTCCGATTAGCTGCTGGGACTCACATCAATTGGCGCATTTTTCGAGATCAGCTTGATAATCTGGATGAAAGTGGGCTGCGTGCCCTTCAATTTGTTGGCGTCCAACCTGGATTTGTGAATTACATGTATGATGGATTCCCGACTTTCACGGTGTTCGGACTTGATGGCGCTAACAGCTCACAGGGCCCAGAGCGGCGGGTCGCTCAAAGAAAATTCAACAGAGCAGATCAAGCAAGCCAGAATCTATCAGCGGGCATATACTGCATTTCAGCTTCGTGATCTGAGCAATGAGGTTCCGTTGTCAGTCATCGCATCTCGGTACCAGATACCACGGGGCTCTGTCCAGAGCCTGGCACAGCAATGCCACGGGTTTGCTGCAGGTATTGTCAAATTTTGTCAACGCATGGGTTGGGGAATGTTGGCTGCAGTTTTGGATCATATGCAGGATCGCTTAGAGGCTGGGGCCCGGGCTGACCTACTCGAAATGGCACAGGTTACGTATGTCAAGGGTTGGACTGCCAGGCTACTCCGAGAAAATGGTTACCGGAATCTGAGGGCCCTGGCAGAAGCGGACTCGAAGGATCTGGTCCCTATTTTGATGATGGTTCGCCAAATCCTTGTTACCCCCTAACCGCAAGATGCTCATAATGAATTAGGTAAACCCGCGCAAAGCCCAGAAAAGCCAGCTTCATCCTGCAGAAGCCGAGCGCTATGCGAAGAAGCTTTTAGCCAAAGCAGAAATCATCATTGGGTCGGCCAACAAGGTCTGGGGTACGTCAAGTCAACTCCTTGGTTCACAATCATGACGCTAATTTTTAGCTCCAATCAAACTAGAACGCGAGATGCAGGTTGAGATAGATGAATAAAAAATCACCGAACCAGATCGTATATACTTGGACGTAATTGACAAGAGTCGTTCACAATCGACGATCGGCCAATGCCGGCAGTTTCGGACACTTGGCATGGTCGATCCGCTAAGATTGCTTCTATCAAACCATCCAGAACGACTGCAGTGCTGATAGTCACCGAGCTTACTTCATTTGAAAGAACTTGACTACCTTGGAAATACGATTGTGAGCAACACACCGACCAGCGATGCTCGCCAGCCTAGAGAACCTCGTTTTCACACCCCATTGAGCAGACTTTGCGCGGCAATCGGCTGACCCTGGTCGACAAAATCCAGCAAAATAACGTTTGGTAGCTGACCATAAATGGAAAGGCATAGATCGGCTTGAGCTCCAATACTGCCCTCGCCTGACACTGCGTTGGTCTCGGCTGCATGCTCCCGATCTGGGATCAAGATGCCCAGGATATCGATATCCAAAAAGTGATTAACAATGTACATCCGACCGGTCGCTGAAGCCCCCGACGGCCGATCAATGCTACAGATGGGAAACGAGGCATCGGTCACATCATATGGCGTTTCGAAAAAGTAAGCGAATTCATCGAGGATATAAGGAACCGCTGTGGCATTGGCACCATAATCTGAGCGAGCTTGTAAGTCATCGTTGCGATAACCGAGGATGATCACGTACCTAAAAAAGTTATCAATCGCGTGCCATTACCGATCAGCTCTCGCAGAGTTGGCCAGGCGTTGATGGCTAGAGTGCTTGGCGATGACTTCGGCACAAATGCATAGTCGGCGATGGCCGCGCTCTCGAATGCCTCGGCGAAATGAGTCACTGGTAGACTATCACCATTTGTCAGGAGCAAGGTCACGACTTCATCTGGATTGTCGTCCAGCCAGGTCTTGACGGTGGTCAAATACGACTCCAAGCTCCCGGCGTATTCAAGGAGACATGAAGTATGGCAAAGGAGGATCGTTTCATTGTCAATCGACTGGTGCGTCTGGCCTTGAAGAAAACGAATCCCAAGGTCCAGTTGCTCGGTGACGTCGATGTTTTGGTTCTGCTGAAGAAGGGGCCCTACAAAGGGACTGTCGTGGGCGCCAACCTGCGTTACATTCGAGTAGATCCGGTCGCAGTAGGCCGACTGACCGTTGCAGGTTGACTGGGCCAGAACGGAAAGCACGAGAGATGTAGTCGCGGCTAAGCCGAGAACAACAGGTGAGAAGAACATTTTGAACCAGGACGAGCTACTTCTATCAAGAAGAGTAGAGCTGCAGAAGTTATTGGGATTTTCGGGGTTTTATATACTCTCCCCGAGTTACACATTATTGTGCTGGATGACCAAATCATGGGATGCGGTAGTTGGAGGGTGAGGGCAACCCCGACGCTTGTGACGCTGGACCGTGAGCTACCCGGACAAAATAGATTAGACTCTTCAGCAAGAATGTGATTGTGATGAGGAGTACAGGAAGGAGTGTGCGGAATGGGTGGATAAATAGACAATCCCCCCCCCCTGTCGAGAGGGGAAATTGGAGCTAGTTGTATAGAGTCGGCGGCGCACGTGCAAGTTCTCGCAACGTTGAACCATCCATTCATTGCTTAATTGTTCTAGGATATAGTACCCTCATGATCCTGTCGAGCCATCTGGTATCATGCCAGGCGAGACAAGTACCTCCTGATGTACTGTTAGCCACAAATAGGGTTAGCCCAGTCAAAGAATGTTTTTGTTGATGGTAACTAACTGGCAACAACAATGCCTGCCTAGAACATCGATATTGAAAGAGGCTGGAGTCCCATGTTATGTGCTTATCCAAACAAGTGAGATAGATAGTTGCCCTTTAAACAGGATTTATTGAGTACTATCTTGCCCTCCCGTGTATAGCTAGCAAATACTAGGAGTTAAACTCAAAGTTGAAAAGTTGATACATAGAGTAGTTATTAATGTCAATGTTTCTGATCTCCACGCCAGAATATCCCTGCCTTAAGGCACCCAAGATAAAGGATAAAGGCAGCAAGGCAGTAAGTGGATGGGCGGTGCTGACCTCCGAGTCGGGGAGTCTCTGCTACGCTTCTTGATCTTAACGTCAACAGCAAGCAATCGATTTGATCCTTGTTGGATCCTCACCTTCTTCATGACTACCTAGTAGTTATTCCCAGCTAAGGTAACGGGTACAGTACATACACAGTATATACACCACACAGTATTCCGATGTTGTTGCTCCCCACTGCCAGAAAACTAGCGCCCCCAGCACCCGCTCTAGTTTAGTGCTGGTGAACCACTGCCTCTCTGCCTGCGGCACCTTCCATCTTCCCACCTTGTCTACCTTAACCGTACTCTCTCACAACACTTCCTCCTCCTCCTCCGCCTCCTCGTTTTGGTCCCCTGTCATACCTTCACCAACCACCCCCCCTCCCTCATCACGACGCCTCTCACCTCCCACCTCCCACTAATATCTGGGTCTTGCACAAAAACAAGCTGGGAGAGATGGTCATTCGATCCTGCTGCCGATGAGCTCCATGATCGAGACCCAGTAATGACTGGGCAC